GTTGGAGCATGCTAATGGTACATTTGGTTCCCTTTTTAATTAATTTATAGGTTTCCAGCAGTTCGGGTAAAAGATCAGCTGAGGATGCAGGTTTGAAATCACCTGCAAGGAAACGGGAAAAAAGAGATGGGAAACGGCAAAAACCCGACGGTGATGAGCTGCTTCTCTGTGAGCGTATTGACGCTCGGTTTAGTACCATGGAGGGTAGAATTGACAACTTTAGGCAAGAATTTAGAGTTGCAATGGGTGATGCTGCTTCCAGAGATAATGAGCTAATGAGTCGGGTTGTGAATATGGAGAACGAATTTCGGGCTTTTAGAGACGAAATTGGTACTCAAGTGAAGTCCATTATAGAGGCAGTGAAAGCAACTATAGGTGATCCGTTGTCAAGGGAGCAGCCTACTGAGTTGAAAAAGAACGATCAGAAGGATGAGGCTGATAATGTGAAAGCTTCTGCAGCTGTTTTGTTGTCAACGGAGCAGCTTATCAGAGGGGAAAAGGGCAATCAGAAGGTTGAGGTTGAAAAACCAAGTGAACCCATTTCTCCTACCTCCGAATGTGTCAAGACTCAAGGGTTAGGTGTTAAGAATTGGGGAGAAGCTGAGGGGGAAATTGGAGATGACAGCGGTTCTGAATCTCCTTCTATCAAAGTTGTGAAAAAGTCTCCTTGCAAGCAGGCGAAAGCATCTAAAGTTGAGAAATTCGTATTGTTGAGTGATGAAAGTGTTGCTGCTAATGATGGTTGTGCCAAGACTGTGAAGGTATTACACTTTATTAAGTTTTCTAATTATTTGTACTTATGGTGTGGTTACTAATGAACTTGTTTTGTTTTTATGTTTTTGAACAATAAAGGGGCGAAAGGGAGGTGGACTACGTAGTGTATCTAAATTGAAGCCTAGTTTGTATGTGGTCTCTCCATTCGAACGTGAAAATCCCAGAGCTAAGAAAGCACAACCTTTGTACCTTGCTCCTCCCTTTGTTGTTAAGACACCATTGACTCTGGAGGCAGTAAAGATGATTCAATTTGCTTTTAGTAGTTCGCTTCCCGGAAGGTACCTCCCGAAATCATAACAAGTAAGATTGGATCATATCTGTAGGATGTTTTTGGTATTTGCCTTATTCTAATGTTGTGGTGTTTGAACTTGGTCTTGTATAACAGTGACATATTGGTTAGTCTTGCTGGCGGGGCTCTTGAGTTGTTACGTGAAGATTTGGTCGAGTTTTTGCCCAGGACTAGAATTTCAACAAGGGTGAGTTCCTTTATGTGTGTAATTTAGTAGATTGAACGTGTATTGCTGACTTTGGTATATGTGATGATGATGCATTAGATTATAGAAATGGCGTGTATGTGCAAGACACTAGAAGAACGAAGTTGTGGTCGCAGTGGTGGCTTGTCTTGGTTCTTTCCACCTTCAGTTTCGGTACAATTGTCTGCTTTGTCTATTCTTGTCATGAAATTAATCTATTTTTTTGTTACATGTAGCTTGTGTGGGTAACTGTGTTTTATTTTTCTAGGATCGTGCGTATCATTGCAACGAGGAGCAATTTATGGCTAAGATGCGTTCATATAAGATACTTGAGCGATACCGTATAAATGAGCTACTTTACTGCAGTAAGGTATGTTGTAATGTTTTTTTCTAAAAGGAAATGACTTCACACTCCTATGTTAAATTGATAATTATTGTTTGTTTGTGCATTATTTCAGATTCATGTCCCAATTTTCAACCTCACGTTGTCCCACTTCTATCTGGCGGTCTTTAACATGGAAGCCAAAGAAATTGAAATCTGGGACTCAATACCAGGAACTCATAACCAAGAATATGATGCAAGGATGCAGAAACTGGTTTGCTTCTTGTTCTTCAAGTTTTCAAACTTGACTTATTGCTTAGTTGTTAGTCGTTTTTCATTTGCCGTTTTTGTCGTTAAATATCGATGAGGGGGATGTTTTCATTTGCAGAAATTGGGTCTAGACTGGTTGCTTAAGGATGATATCTGCGGGGCGTTTTCATTTGTGGACTTTGTGGTTAGATATCGCCGGGATGTTGCTTGCCAACCAAATGGGTAGCCTTTGTTGTTGTTCAATCGTGCACTGTTCTAATTAAGTTCGATAATTATTTGTTCGCATCATGACCATGGTAATTATTTGTTATATTACAGATTTGATTGTGGACTATTTATCGCCAATTACTTGCTGGATCCAGATCGATATTCCAAGAAGCTTGACCAGTTCGACAGTGACTATGAACGAGCACAACTTACAATGTACTTGCTCACGACGCATTTGAATGAGGTGAAAGCTACAGTTAAGACAAAATCAGAAGAATATTTTGACAGTCATGTGAGACCTGCCCAAATTGAGACTGAGAAGGTGAATTTCAAGACGAACTTACTCAATCGAGGAAGAAAGCCGTTGCACGCGCATGGGGAGAAAAAGGGTAGAAAGTCTAAGAAGCATTGAGAGTTGTGATGTTAATGTAGAGTTTAGTTAATGTGGATGTTTTTTTGAAGTTTAGGAAAATGTAGATGTTGAATGAATTTTAGTGAATGTAGATGTTGATTGAAGTTTAGGAAACTGTTGAAATTACAATGAAGTTATGAATGAAGCATTATTCAGTGATGTTATCTTTTCTCTATATTATGTTTAATGTGTCGACAAGGAAGAAGTTATGAATGATCATATAACGAAAAATGGTTGAAAATGGACCTTATTCACCCTGCCAGCAGGCTTTTTCACGGCCTCAATAATTCATTTTCACGGCCGTGAGATGGTAATTTCTCAGTGTCTCTGACGCAGGATGAATCTTTCACGCCCGTGAGACTGGGACGTGAGATAGGATTTTTATAACACCTTAATGATGGGAATCTCACGCCCGTGAGACTGGGCCGTGAGAATCAATAAATCATTCCCTATGTCCAGGGAACCTCACGGTCTTGAAAGAACAATCTCACACCCGTGAGATTGTGGGCTGCTGTGAGTTAGTGAAAAAAAATGTCATTTGGAAGGTTCGAACCCGAGCACTTGGCATAATAATTCAGCTCATTAACCAGTCAGACTACTTAACATATTTTGTAAAATTGATTGTCCGTTTGCCTTTTAGTACATATGGTTGAATGAGCGTTTGATTATCGGTTTTGGGTTCAACCCATGTAATTGTAAACCGATGTGAGATTGAGGTTAGGTATATGGTTGAATGAGCGTTTGATTATCGGTTTTGGGTTCAACCCATGTAATTGTAAACCGATGTGAGATTGATGTTAGGTATATGGTTGAATGAGCGTTTGGTTATCGGTTTTGGGTTGAACCCATGTAATTGTGAACCGATGTGAGTTTGAGGTTATGTATATGGTTGAATGAGTGTTTGATTATCGGTTTTGGGTTCAACCCCTGTAATTGTAAACCGATGTGAGATTGAGGTTAGGTATATGGTTGATTGAGCGTTTGGTTATCGGTTTTGGGTTGAAACCATGTAATTTTGACCCGATGTGAGATTGAGGTTAGGTATATGGTTGAATGAATGTTTGATTATCGGTTTTGGGTTGAACCCATGTAATTGTGAACCGATGTGAGATTGGTTGATGATATATGGCTTAGTGAGTGTTTAATTACGGTTTTTGGGTTGAACCCCATGTAATTGTGAACCGATGTGAGATTGGTTGATGATATATGATTTAGTGAGTGTTTGATTACGGTTATTGGGTTGAACCCCATGTCATTGTGAACCGATGTGAGATTGAGGTTAGGTATATGGTTGAATGAGCGTTTGATTATCGGTTTTGGGTTCAACCCATATAATTGTAAACCGATGTGAGATTGGTTGATGATATATGGTTTAGTGAGTGTTTGATTATGGTTTTTGGGTTGAATCCCATGTAATTGTGAACCGATGTGAGATTGAGGTTAGGTATATGGTTGAATGAGCGTTTGATTATTGGTTTTGGGTTGAACCCATGTAATTGTGACCCGATGTGAGATTGAGGTTAGGTATATGGTTGAATGAGTGTTTGATTATCGGTTTTGGGTTCAACCCCTATAATTGTAAACCGATGTGAGATTGAGGTTAGGTATATGGTTGAATGAGCGTTTAGTTATCGGTTTTGGGTTGAATCCATGTAATTGTGAACCGATGTGAGATTGAGGTTAGGTATATGGTTGAATGTGTGTTTGATTATCGGTTTTGGGTCGGTCATAATGAAGAAATTCCTAGATCCTAAACCCTCACCGTCGTAAGTCGTAACAGTGATGCCGTTTCTTCCTTCTCCTCCTTCGTCGGCGCCAGAGGACTGATCCTCGGTTCCTCCCTGTCGACTTCTTCCTTCCTGCTTCCCTCCCAGCCTCAGTTCTTAATTGTCGTCCTTAGTCGGCTCTTCTCCACCAATATTACGAAACCAGATTCTTCCTATCTCCCTTCCTTCGTCTTCCCTTCTCTACGCAACCATCGATTTTCCATTCTCCCTTATTCGCCCATCCTTCGTCAGCCGCCGAAGACCCGCAGACCGCTCTCCATCACGCTCCGTCAAGTACGATTACCTCTTCTCCTGCTTTACCTGTGTGTTTTGCGCTTCTAGTAGCCTCAGATTTCGATTTTGAGTCCTGCGAATTTAGGGTTCCACGGGTTTTTTTTGGGAAATTGTTGGTTTTCGTCCAGATTTGTGCGGTTTTAGTTGCTTAATTTTCGATTTCTATTTGCACTCACGGGTTCTCTTGGGAAACTTATGGGTTTCGCCGGACTTTGGGTTCTTTTGAGAAATCAGGGACTTATGGGTTCTTCTTGGTATGGAGTACGGTTTAGGCTATGGATTCTTTCATTTGTGAATGGTTGGTTTGTCGCAGAAGTGCAGGGGAAATTATAGAACTGATATGGCACCTATCAAGCTGAGTTTGCTTAACTCGGTCTTGCCTCGTGTTTGTTTCAATTGATTCGGTCGGTTGTGGGTGGTGAATATGTGGATTTCAATTGTCTCTAAACTTCATTTTGTTGCTTGTTTTCAGTTGATCAACTATGGAAGGGTTGATGGATGATATGAGCACAGGCAAGGACACGGGAATTGACTTGAATGTTGGTTTAGATTGGGGAATGGATTATGGAGATGATACCGGTGGTGTTAGAGATAGTGACGATATGGAGGACAATGTCGACACCAGCGATAGTGATTCTGAGGATGATAATAACACTAACTTTGGTGATGATGATAAAGAGAACATCTCAGATGAGCATTTGCACAGCTTCGAAACACAGCCACACAGCTCAGATGCACCTCTACACAAAGATGCTGCAAATCCAGCCATGGCTCCACCGTACTCGAGTATGTATGACTGGACCTTGCTTGATAAAGTCGGGAATGGTAAGCCATATTCTAAATGGGAGTCGGATGATGTTGTGGGTTATGAGTTTGAAACCCTTGTGGAGGCTGCCAAGTTCTATTCAACTTATGGTTGTGCCATTGGATTCAGCGTACGAAAGAACACTCACACATATTCAAAATATGGAGTTAAAAATATGCAGCGATGGGTTTGCTCACGCGAGGGGGAGCGTCAACCACTGCACAATGACAAGGAGAACAGAAAGCGTGAACCTAGGCCTGTAACAAGGCTCCATTGTCCGACAGCTTTCAAAGTCAGTTTTGTTGAAGCAACTAACCGATTCAAGGTGAAGCAGTTTGTACCAACACATTTTCATCACTTAGCTGGAGCACATGAAGTGCGGTTTTTGAGTTCTCATCGCAAGGTAGATGACGCACGTAAGGCTCAGATTCGATCACTTAGGGCTGCTGGTATTCGCACCAATCAAATAATGGATTATCTAGTGAATTGTGCGAGAAGCTTTCACTAAGACCGATGTCTACAATTTTGTTAGTGCGGATCGGAGGTCGGAGATCTTGGATAGTGATAGTGAAGCTGCACTTGCCTACTTACAAGCACGGGCAACTACCGATCCTTGTTTTTATTGTAGATATACAGTAAGTGATGGTGGTGAACTAGGCAATATGTTATGGGCTGACTCTACTTCACAATTGGATTATAGTCTCTTTGGAGATGTTCTTGTTTTTGACTTGACGTACAAGACTAATGCATATAATCTTCCATTTCTTCTATTCATTGGTGTGAATAATCACAATGCAAGCACTGTTTTTGCATGTGCTTTACTTGCGGATGAAACGGCGGAGAACTACGTATGGATTCTAAATGCTTTTTTACATTGCATGGGTGGTAAGAAGCCAACCGCAGTTATAACAGATGGTTGTTCTTCAATGAGGAAAGCTATCAAGTCGGTTCTCCCTGGATCCCGACATCGGTTATGTTCTTGGCACTTGGGCAATAACGCAGAAGCGCGTGGCCATGCGGAAGGCTTCCGGGAGGATTTCAAACGATGCATGCTAAACTGCAGTTCTATTCCACAATTTGAAGCTACGTGGAAGGAAATTTTGTCCAAGTATGACCTGGAGCACAATGCGTGGATGAAGAAGATGTATAGGCGACGAGCTCTATGGGCCACAACTTACTTGAAAGGTATTTTCTTTGCTGGGATGACTACGTCACAACGTTGTGAGAGCATGAACTCTTATCTAGACAAATTCTTGCAAAGTAAGATGAAGTTGTTTGAGTTTGTCAAGCAGTTTGACATGGCACTTTTGTATAGGAGACAAACTGAGTTACATGACCAGTTTAAGACAATACATACTGATGTTGTTTTGATGACACATTTACATGAAATTGAAAGACATGCCTCTATAGTATATACAAGAAATGTGTTCAGGAGCGTTCGAGCAGAAATAGAGAGAGAAGTTCATTACTATATTACAGACAAGTGTGTGTTGACCAATAAAACAATTTACACATTGTCACGATTCAAATACCCTGACTCAAAGTGCACTGTGGTCTTTTACACGAGTGGACATGATGTGCATTGTTCTTGTGGCATTTTTGAGTTCTGCGGAATTCCATGTCGGCATATATTCTGTATATTGAAAGCAGAAAATCAAATACAAATTCCAAAGTCACTCATTTTGAAGCGTTGGACTAAAGATGCAAAAGAGTTCGATCCCTCGAGTATGGGAAGCTGTCCTACCCAGCAAAATATTAGCAGGTATTATAAATTTAAGCTGTTGATTTAGTTCTTTGTTTACTTCTATTGTGCTAGGAACCAACTACAAAATTGCTTGTTTGTTTGGACAGGTTTGGATTCTTGGTTGGTCAATGTAGTAGAATGTGCCATTATGCTGTGAGTTCGGATGAAGCATTTCATACTGCCAAAGGGTTGATTGAAGACTTGACCTTGCGAGTGAAGACAATAAGTGAAGAAACAACCAACAAAACAAATAATGCTACTACGGATGCTGGAGTGAACTCCTCTCAGTTTATTAAGGACCCCCATCCAGTTCAAAGTAAAGGGAATGTGAAGCAACCTCAAGTGAAAACACGGTTGTGCAAGTATTGTAGGCGTCCTAAACATACAATCAGAAATTGTCCGCTGAAAAGAATGGCTGAAGCAGGTGCAGGTGATAGTCATTTCACGCAACAAGAATACAACTTCGAGTCCATAGGAGCAGGTGAAAGCAGCTTTCATGTGGAGACTCAAGAATCTGTTCTACTTCCCAAACGATCCAAGCACAACCTGTAATGTTGGTGTTCGGCTTCAAACAACATTATGTTTCATCTTGTCATGTTTGTTTTGTGCAAGTTAGTATCTAGTGACATTGAATGGATCTATGTAATGCTTGTGTCTAGCTTCAAAGAACATCATGACTCATCTTTTCATAAGCTTGTAGTTTTCAAAAACAATATATTATGTTTCTTACACCATTATAATAAGTACAGGGGTTAGTTCTACATGTGAATGTCTTTGCAGGCCAATTCCGGAAATCTCACGGCCGTGAAAGCATGCGTGTTTTTGGATTTGAAATTCTGGAAATATCACGGCCGTGAGAGAAACCGTGAGAGAGGCCGTGAGATGATCAAAGCTGAAACCCAAAAACACGCCTCATAACTGAAACCTCACGGCCGGGAGATGTACCGTTAGAATTTTTTTTTAAAAATTGTAACTTCCAGGGGGTTTCACGGGTTATATCCCGCCCGGGACAAAAAGCCTTGAGATGGAACCCTAAAATTGGAAACACCCTATTTAAAACTTCCTCTTTTCTACTTGAACCCGACCCACAACCCTCCGTTCTACTTCGACCCCCAACCCTCTTTGACTTCCTACTTCGTTTTCTCCCCAACTCTGCAAATCCTCCCAGCTCCGACTCGGTTTCGCCGGCCGCCATGAGCAAGGGACCAGGTCTCTACTCCGACTTCGGCAAGAAGGCCAAAGGTAAACGAAGATAGATCTCCCCTTTCCACCTTCCTCTCTCTCTCTCTTGCTCTCGCGGTTTGCTGCGGCGCCGATGTTTCGTTTGATTCCCTCTTTGTTTGCAGATTTGCTCACCAGGGATTACCTATCCGACCAGAAGATTTTCATCTCTAGTTTCACCGATTCTGGAGTGGTCAGTTCCTTTATCATCCCTTCCCCACTCATTCTGCTCTTTTCAACTCTTTATGATTTGCTTAAGCCCTGCGATTGGATCTGAGATTTTTTGCATTTCATTCAGTTTGAATGCTCTGAGCTACGCTGGTACGCTGGTAGTCTGTTGATTATGTTTAGGTAATGAGGCTGCTCAATTTTCTGAATCCTTAACCGTGGCTAGCCATGAGAGCTGAAGCTGGTATAAGCTGTAGCCTGTACTGTCTTTGGTACCGCTAGGGTTGTAATTGGTAATGCGAGGCTGTTGCTGCTTTCTATTATCTCCAGCAATTGGTTTGTGTAGATCATACCCTAGGATTTTATTGTTCTAGGAGGTCCACTGTGTGTAGTTTGATTCATTTTTTCAAAGCCTTACTTGGTTAGCAGTTTACATTTTCGGATTAACAGTTTTTCTTGTCCATTTCAGGCTGTTACCTCGAATGTTGTTGAGAAAGGAGGCCTTTCGTCTAGGGATGTGGCAGCTGAATACAAGCATAAGAATGCTACTGTTGGATTCAAAGTCGATACTGAGTCTAATGTAGGTGCTCTGCCCTGTTTTCATTGTTATTCCCTTAATTCACACCTCTGGTATATCTAATGTTGTTTCTTTGGACAGGTGATAACAACTGTTAGTGTTACAGACTATCCATCATCGACCTAATCCATTGCTTCAGTAAAATTGCCTGATTTCAACTCTGGAAAGGTATTCAGTATATGATATGCAAGGATGTGGTAGCTGTTCATCTGATGGGGTTTGGTATGGTTTTAATTCAGCATTTGTTCCTTGTTGTTGTCTCTACAGTTGGAAGTCCAGCATTTCCATCATCATGCTGGTGCAGTGTCTGATTTTCGCTCAAATAAATACCTTTGTTTTTACTTCTCATAACCTTATGAATGAAGAGCTTACTGTAACATAATCAGAAGGATTCAATTTGTAACCTAAGTGAGCATTTGACAGGATGTGCAGACGGTGCTATAGTGGTACGGGACGCTGGATATGGAGCCAAGGTGAGCACAATTAAGGGCCACACCGAATGCATACAGTCCTTGGCCGTGAGCTGTGATCTGGACCTGCAGGATTTCTTAGGTGTGGAAAATATGAATGCAGTTGTGGATTCATGGGAGGGGGATGGGCATGGATGTTCGACAAAAGTTTGCTACACAAATTCTTGAGATGGGGTGAATTAATAAGGACATAAATTGTGTTATATATGTATGTTCAATTTCTTTTCTACAAATCAATTGCAATGTACTCCATAACTCTAATGATCAAATATTGATCTTCTCTTCAATTGTGGGTGGCTAGATGGATATATCTAGTTATTGTTGTTTTTTGTTCTTAGATGGAAACCTCACGGCTTGTAATTAAATTGTCACGGCCGAGAGAATAAGCCGTGATATGGAAACCACTCCCAATTTCTCACGCCCCATAACACAAACCACTCTCAATTTCTCACGCCCCATAACCCAAATTTCACGGACGGTAGATGAACCGTTAAATTTAAAAAAATGTCCCTGGGAGTTTCATGGTTTTGAGTTGGTAATATCCCGCCCGGGATAAGGAGCCGTGAGATGGAAATATCACGGCCGTGAGAGAGACCGTGAGAGAGGCCTTGTATGTAAAAATGCACTTCTCACGGCTCATCTGTAAATATCACGGGCGTGAGATTAACCCGTGATATGGTCACAGCTGAAACTCAAAAACACGCCTCACATCTGAAAATCTCACGGCCGGGAGATGTACCGTTAGATTTTTTTAAAAAAGGGGGGAGTTCCAGGGGGTTTCACGGGTTGGGTTTGACAGTATCACGGCCATGAGATGAGCCGTGTTTGTGTAATTGAAATGCTGGACTTCTCACGGTTCATCTGTTAATCTCACGGGCGTGAGATTAACCCGTGAGATGGTCACAGCTGAAACCCAAAAACACGCCTCACAACTTAAAATCTCACGGCCGGGAGATGTACCGTTAGAAGTTTTTTTAAAAAAATTGTAAGCTCCAGAGGGTTTCACGGGTTATATCACGCCCGGGACAAAAACCGTGAGATGGAACCCTCAAATTGGAAACACCCTATTTAAAACTTCCTCTTTTCTACTTGAACCCGACCCCCAACCCTCTGTTCTACTTCGACCCTGAACCCTCGCCATCGCACTTCGACCCCCAACCCTCTTCTCCCCCGACCCCCAACCCTCTACTCCCTCTGTTCTACTTCGACCCCCCAACCCTCGCCCTCACTCGCTTGCCATTGCCCTCGATCGGTCGCCCTCGCTCGCTCGCCCTCGAAGATTCTTCCGCCGCCGACCACTTCCCCACGACTCCTCTGGTAACTGCTCC